TTAAATTTTGAAATCAGAGAGTTAGCTGAAAAAGTGTTCCCATCCCTTCTGACCGTAGGTATTTGCGCCTTTCACAAAAACAAGTTTCAGGTCACTACTCGTACGAGAAGTCCTTGGCGGAAGTAAATTTGGTGATTTGATGCCGCACTAACAAGGCCACTGAATACGCAATTATACAGGGTGTCCCAAAAAAAATGTGAGCACTGTTAAATCGCTAATGACTCTATTTTTACGTTTCGCCGAGATTGATGTACCATCCTGTAGAGCGAGGGACATCTTACAATTAGATTCACAACATGGAGCGAATCATCAGTCACTCTACATTACTGTAGGATTACGGTATGAACTTTCAGCATACAGCATACTGTGGAATAGGCTTTTTAATTAAAAACGTTCAAAATTTTTGAAAATCTGTGTAGCAAGGTTTTCGGGTGTGCTGATTTCATTGAACAACTTCTTATTGGTTTTTCGAGCCTTTCAATGGTGTAATCACACTTCTGACGAACATCGGAAAAATACTTGTTACCTTAAATCTGAAATAACTCATGAAATAAGCATTACAGTGAAATGCAAGTTTCATATTTAGAGTCAGCGGCTTCGATTATACCAGTACGAAAGTTTCTGGCTTTTTGATCTCCTATCCAAGGCAAAATCGCTTTCAGTTTCTCATAATCCTTCGCAAAATTCTAACGTAATCCTACAGTAATAAAAGAGATTGATAATATTGTAAATCTAAATTGAATCTCGCTTTACAGAATGGTGCTTAGAGTTCGGCGAAGGACATGAAAGCAAGAGAGTTATTAATGATCAAACACTGTTCACACTTTTTTTGGGACACCCTGTATACAAGTTTCCATCCCCAAACTACGGGTTTTTCAAAAAGACTTTACTTCCTTCACTCTCGATAAAACCTTCACTCCCGATACGCCGATTTGTTCATAGTTTTGCCCTGGGTTGGCGTAGTAGTAAATCTTGTACACCTGAATGACATTTAGTTAAAACTTCTCTAAAATATAGTTTCAGAGACTAACAGCTTTTTTTCCTGTATTCATCACTCTGCAATCAGCCATTTGCAATCTGGTGAGGTCAACTTTCTGTAAGTAGAATATCAACCATTTAATAACTAGTAGTCAAAAACGAAGCCAAAGGTGTTTTGCGTAATAGAATCTGAGAAAATAGCGATTGCACAATTCATTGTGGAAGTTTAAGTGGCAAAGTTTGCTTCAAAT